TAAATTTTTATCACACATTAGATTTCATGGATTTAATCATCACCATTATTACCACATTATTACCACCATCATTATCGCTATCATAATCATCGTCATTATCCTCAGCACTAGCACGATCTTGTCGCTATTATCATTATCACTCTCATCATCATCATAATCATTACTCTTTTCATCACTATCATCTATAAAATTGCCACTATAATATGGGCTTGCCTTTTTTTAAGAGCCCTCACCATTACTAGTTAGACTCTCTTTACTGTTGCACTGAACAATTATCGCCAGCCTCAGCATCGTCGCTCCGAATTGAGTAATGACCCACTAAGCCATTTTATTCCTTAATATGAATTTTAATTGATTTTCAAAGATTAAGCAGAATCAGCAGGCTGTATCTTGGAAACATTTTTTAAAGAAAAAAAACAATTTAAGAATAGATTATATCGTACCTTTAGAGGACTTCTTTTTTTGAATATTACAAAGTTAAAAACTTTCATATTTGCTTCTTTCAGGTGAACAAGTGCCAAAAAAGCGAACAAAATATATAGTTACCCAAAGCCAGGGCACTTCGGTTGAAGGTAGATTTTAAATAATTTTCACTGCTAGTGCGGTGATCTGCCGTCAGTCATCAATTTTTTTTAGTGGTAACTTTCTATTGAATTTTATAGTATGAATAAATGTTGTATAATAAATAAATATTGCACTCAAAAAATGATACTTTTTTTAAGAGATTTTAGAAGAATAACAAAAATTTCTAGCAGATTATGCTAAAAATTTTTACCATAGTTTTCAAAAATAAATATTGCACCGTTAAGTAGCTATTTTCTAATGCAAAATTGAGTTTAATTTGAGGTAAATATACTTTTTTAAAAGTAAACGTCATTTTAAATGCATTTAGTAGTCTAGTCGGCTAGAAGTCGAGAGGTCGATCGAAATTAGTAAAAAACGCGTGTGTGATAACGAACGACTTCATTTATCAAAATATGGACGAAAAACATATGAAAACACGTGAAGAAACAATTTCTCGTGAATCTTTTCGGTAAGTAAAAAGAAATGAAATAATATAGATTTTACCAATTATAAACTACCTAAGGGCAAATCGTAATAAGGCAGACAAAATAAGCTGATTTATCTTGAGAATACTAGGCAGTGTTTGGTGCAAACTTTACTGACATTGCTGTCTCCAATAAAATTTTTTGCAACCTTCATAACCTTTTGCCAATAAAGCACTTAATAATTTTTTTACTATCAAAATACACTTAAAATATATTTTCATTATTAGTGCTTAGCAATTGCGGAAAATTATTTTCACATGTTTCATCAGTGTTTCACTTTGTAATATTTTTTTTCACGTTTGGAACAAAATATTTTAATTTAACTTAATCAGAATGAGTTTTTTATAATTTCTTCGTAAAAAATTAACGTACTGAATGAAGATAAGCTGATAAATTTAAAGAAGAGAAGGATGAGAAAAATGAGAATTTTTAAAAAAAAATAAGGACTTCCGTTCTTTCTTGTTGAATAGGAAAATAAGATATGAAAGTGCAAGCAAGTCACCAAATTATTAAAAATACGATGAATTTATTATAAATCTTTTCAATTCAAGTTAGAAATTTTTATTTTCATTCTTGCGGTCTTTAAAAAAATTTTGGCATTTAATAACAAAGGTTTTGACCAACATCGTTAGTATTTGAATCTTAAATTTATTTGCGCAAGATAACCGAGTGAACAAAGAGGCAAGTTTAACTTTTCCCCAATAAGAGAGTAAACCTGCTATTAAATAATCCGAGTAGGGGCTAAATTTTTATTTTCGTTCTTGCGGTCTTCAAAAAAATTTTACCGAAAATTCATTTCTTAAATTTAGTTTACCGATTCGTGCTGTGGAGAGAAATAAATTCAAAAACATAAATGGTTTAACAAATTCTCAAAATTTAAATAATACTTGAGAGGCCATAATCTTGCAGATATGAATTAATTGACGACGGAAATTGGGTAAATATAGTTCGTGAACAACTTGATTCTATGCACTCACCAATTTCACAGAAAGATGCAATGACATCGTATGCCACAAGTAAAAATAGTATTTTGAATATCTATTTTTATTATACGGATATATTCTATAATTACAGGCCTCCTTCAGTGAATTCGTCAGAAAAATGTTTTAAGAGCCTATGCGAAAATTTCCGCCTTCCTTTTAACATTTTCAATTTTTTATTACCTTTCATCATTTTCACCACTAGAAACCATTTTCACTCGATATAAAATTAGTTTCCTAAAATATTTGATATCTTAAAAACCATTGATGGACTACATATAAGTGGTCAGTGCTTATCATTTCTGGCCTGTTCCATCGGCTGTTATTATTGTGAGAAATTCTGCTATGAAACAATTGCTCGCATCACCATTCAAATTTAATAAATTTCATTTTTTTGATAGCGAGTTTACTTTTGTCGGAGGCATAGAATCTTGATTTTCGAGACGATTGTTCGAGTAACAATCACTTGCCTACCACGCTTTATATATATATATATATATATAAAATCCTGAAATTACTTGCTCTGTATTTTCATAAAGTTGTGGAAGCTCATATATAATTGTTTTTAATGCATGAATTTTTAAGAAAGACCTAGGTAAACGTGGTTAACTTTGCAGATCGGGAAAAAATCTACCATAATAATGTGAGGACTGTTGAAGAAACGCATCTACTTAAAAGTACGGGTTCAGTGAGCGAAAATTTTTCTGAAGAACATTGGTCATCTGAAATTAAATCATATATTGCTGCGGAACCACCGAAATTTGTCCAGGTTCAGAATTTCGATCTTTTATTTATTAATAACTACTTTTTAGTTTGGTGATAACAGATTTGACTCTTCCTCATGCTCAACTGAACTCATGCCTCATCGATGACCAAAGTTTTCGGCGTCTACTTAAGAATACTCTTAGAATTACCAAAATATGTTCTGAAGAATGTTATTTTATTACTGGTTATAACTCTTTGAAATATCTTCTCTTCTCTTCTCTTATCTTCTTATCTTATCTTCTCTTTTAGATAAAGTTGTTTGATTTGAAAAGATAATCAGTGATAAAAGCCAATTTAGAAGATTTAATTTAAGTGGCATAATTTTCTTACTGATTATCAAAATAAAATCTATAAAAAAACCTTCATATAAATATGAATAAATCTATGGTAGCTATGATAAAATGATAGAACTGGTGAACTGATTTCAAAGAACACTTGATTTCCTAAAATCGTGCTTTCATAGGCACTGAAAGCATTTCGAGTGCTTACAACAGATATGTTAACTCTTGTCGTAGAAGTGAAAAGTGATCCACCTGCAATATTCGAATGGTTTTGCAACGACCGACCGGTGCAACAAGATTGGCGTAGATTCAAAGTTTGCCACTATTTTTTAGCATTTTTCTTACCATTATCACCATTTCAAATAGCAATAAATATTCATGTATAAGTATTTTAGACTCGTCATGGCATAAATATAACCACTCTCACAGTCGAGGGTCCTGAGCAGGGTGTTTATAAATGTATAGCTAGGAATCCAGCTGGTGTTTCTACAACTTACTGTTTTATTACTGTTAATGGTAAGGTTTTAATTCAATAATTCATGGTTAAAATTTTTATTACAAAAATTACAAAGTTTTATGAAAACTTATTCCAAAAATTTTATTTGACAAAATAGCTTTGTATAAAAATGTTAGCAAAAAAACGAAAAAACTATTTGTTTTTTTTTCAGTTCCGTTACCGTATAAGAGTTTGATGCAGCAAGAACACATTGCCGAAGAAAAAATTTCATTAGTAACAAGGAATAAAATGGGTATTTTATTATCAAAATATACTTTCATTCTAATTTTGACGCATCTCTGATAAAAAAGCATGATATTAAGTTTTGTCATTTTAGTCTAATATTGAAAAATTAGCTAGTTCTGCAGCCTTCTAATGATTTGTTAATGGAGGCATATTACATGGATTTAATAGCTTTTATTTTGCTTCAAGTGGTTCGGCCAAAAAATTTTCATTTTTCAGTAAATTTCAGTAACTTTTCGATTTCAGAAGTAAAGAAGCCAGCGCTAAATTTGGATAGCGCTCCGAAATTCATTAATCAAATCCCAAACCTTACATTGAAACCTGGAGCTGAAGCAATAATTGACGTTGAAGTTGAAGCATGGCCTCCACCATTGTGAGTTTTTACTCGTATGTCATAATGATATTGAAAATGGTCTATTGTCTACTTCATCTATATTATTTATTTGCTCTTGTTATTCAGATTCAAATGGTACGTCAATGGAACAGAATACAAAGACAATACAGAACTGATCGAAATATACTGTCTCACTCCAAACAGGTGCATTGCTCGTTTTCCAATCCCACAAACTGGAGAATATCGTGTTATTGCAGAGAACAGAGTTGGAAAAGATCAAAGTATCGGATATATCGATATCAAAAAAGGTAAATAATTTTTTATCCAGGAAGAGCTGGAAAACCACTTATAATTCTACATGTAACTTTGTGCATAAAATGTTGCAGCTAATAGCAGTGGTGTGAGAAAAAATCATTGTGCTATCCAAAATCACCGCTTTAGAAAATTCTCAGTACTTTCATTCCTCATTAACAAAAAATTAGTGTTGTGATTAGTATGGTAAATTCTCTAATATTGCATTTTCGAGTGTTGCTTTATTAAAATAAAATTTCTATAATGGTTAGAATTTGTTTAAAGAAATAGTTAAGCTGATGTTGAAGTTTACTTGTCCACTTCCACTTAATTAGGCTTAAAAATTAAATTGATGCATGGTCCGAACCAATTTAAGAAAAATAAGCTATTCTAACTTTTTCAGAGCATTTAAATTCATTTTTAAATATTTAAAGCTATGAACCTTCGAAAAAAAATTTAAGAGATTTCTTCAAGTCAAATGCAACGGCCGCCGTTACCAGGAAACCAAACAACTCGCCGTATAATTACTGCTGCTCATAATAGTGAGTTATTTTCTGATGCTCAATTAAAGTTATCGGCATTAGATATGCTGCTTTGACACTTTTATAGAAATTCACAGCGAATTTAGCATTTATTCCTTAATATCCGAAAATAATTGAAGCCATTAGGCATCTAAACAATTTGCGAAGTTGCTAAAATCAAAGCTTATTGATTTACTATTCGGAGTTAAATAATTTCAAAACAGTTTTGCACTTTAGGTGATAACGAAACAAATGCGGATCGATCTTCATCAGTTACAAAAATACTTGATATGTACGAAGAAAGTACTTATTATCAAAGATCGACAAGTTTACCACGTTCGATGAGAAGCGAACAGATCGAAATTGCAACGAGTAACGAGATGTTGCGTTCTGAAGGTATGATGCTAAAATGTGGCCAAAAAATAGAAAGTTTCTCAGAGCTCCGTTCAGAATGATTGTTTAAGTCTTAAACAATATGTGGTTAAGATTTTTAGATCATGTTAATAAAAGATAGATTATGGTGTTAACATCTTTTATCTTTTTGCTTGTTGCGTCTTTCCAAATCTACAAGTTCTTTTAATAGAATTAGTGGTAGAGATGAAATTTTTCCCTCACTTTTCTTTATCAGATTCAACAACTTAGAGTAATCATATCATAACACAGCATGGTTTTTTCTGCCAGGTTTTCAAAGTGTAGCCTTTCTCTTTCATCAGCTCTTAATTGTTTTTCGATTTACTTCAACTTATTTTATATATTAAATTATAACAAGTTTTTAGTGTAGTATTGACGAGGAATATCTATTAATCTGTTTTTTTTTCCATATTTCTATTTGTACTAATAATTTTTAGAACCGCGATTGCATCGTATTTCTTCGATGAAAGAACTTCAAACATTTGGAAGCGAAAGTAGAGAATTAATTCAAATATATAGTAAAAAAGAAGATATGGCACGCTACCTACCACAGCCTCCAGTTTTCACCAATAAATTACCAGAAGTGATCACAATACAATCAGACGAAGAACTACTGTTAAGTGCATCTGTTAAAGCACTGCCACAAGCTGAAGTAAAATGGAACCTAAATGGCTTTGAAATTAGATCTTCAAGAGGTATTACGCTTCTAAATGAGAAGAACCATTCAACACTGATCATTCAACAACCAGTGAAAGATGGATTGTATGCGGTGACAGCATCAAATGACCTGGGAATGAGCACTATGGCTACTCGAGTTTATATTATAAAAGAATATTCGAAGGACAATAATATAATGGATGAGAACAAAAGTTTGCAAAATCAACGGACAACGCCACCGGAAATAATACAAAATTCAGTCACTGTAACTACTTCACACGATGATTGGGAAATAGTGGATGAAATTATTTCAAACAAGTCTTCAACCGAATCATTTGAAACAATCAAGGCAGTAGATTTGAACAAAATTGAAGATATGCGTTTACATGATGAAACGCCAAAGCCAGCATACAAACCTGGTTCTGGAATACTTAAGAAAAATGCCGACATTTCCATTTCTGACTTTATTCCTTGCCCTTACAGCGCTTCACAAGCAAAAATATATGAAGGATCCAAAAAGTTTTCAGTACCAATTACGAAATCGATCGAGCCTTTTCCTAAGCGACCATTTATTGTTAGACAACTCGAACCAGATATATTCGTTAAAAAAGGTGAGAAACTTATTCTTGAATCAGTGGTTGATTCTTATCCGGTATCACGGTTTCAGTGGTATCATAATAATTTCGAAATTAAGCCATCACCAAATGTTTATATTGATGATACTGTTACAAATCGAAGTGAAGCAACATTCTATATGCCTACGAGTGGAATCTATAAAGTAATAGCTAGTAATCAGCATGGTTCATGTTCAAATACAACTCGTGTCACCACAGAAATCATTGAGGAAATAATTGAAGAAACAGGGACTTATAGCGTCCAGGCAACAAAAACGACGCCATTCTATAAATTAATTAAAAAGCCGATGGTAAAAATGCGAAACGATTTGCCAATGCCTCCGAAAATCATTCGCAAATTATTGCCAGTAACGCGAATCGAGCAAAATGGGTCTCTAACTTTAGAGATTAGCGTTGAAGCTATTCCTGAGGCATCTATAACATGGCGTTTAAATAATTTCGAGATACGACCGAGTGCGTCAACTAGTATAGAAAGAATATCTGAAAATGTGTCTAGAATTACTTTTCTTGAAGCAATTGATGGACGTGTTGAAGCCATTGCAAAAAATTACCTTGGCCAAGATTCTACTTCAACGAAGATTTTAATTGAGTATCCGAAAGATATGAATAAAGTCGCACAATCATATCCACTCACTTTTATTGTGCCTCTAGCTGCTGAATTATTGATCTCAGATACCACAAAGGAAACTAAACTTATGGTAACAGTTCGTGCACAACGACCCGTAACATTCCAGTGGTTTGCCAATGGGGAATCATTAAACCACAGTACTGATCACCAATTCGTCAACGATGATTATTCAAGCATTTTGATAATAAAACCGAATCTTTTGATTAAACAAGCTTTTTATGCAGTTGAGGCATCCAATGATCAAGGATCTATTTGGTGCGAATCCCTGATAAAGCCGCACCTTCCTATCCCATCGAAAACTATCAAATCGGAAGTATCTACGAGTGTTTGGCAAAAAGCACCATATTTCACGCAGATTTTAACGTCTTTAGAAATTGAAGAAGGTCAAATGTTCACAGCTAACGTTGCCATTAAGGATGGTTGCAGTCCTTGCGAGTTTTTCTGGTCATTGAATGGCAGAGATGTTCGAACATTTCCAGGAATACTTATCGACTCGACTTCATATGAATCAAGTTTGACAATTAATAGCATTTCGTGGAAAATGGATGGCAAACTATCTGTAACGGCAAAGAACAAATATGGTAGTGCAGTATCGTCCGGGAAAATAACTCTACGTGAAAGTAAATATCGTTGAATCATTCTTTTTTCTCCCAATTTTGGTATTAACTTATTGAATTCAATATTTTGATTGATCCATTATGGCCATTTCGCCGTGATAAATTAATCATTAATACAGTAATTTAAAGAAAAATTTTTTAGAACTATTTGTAATGCCTTGCATTTTTTTTTCTTCAACTCACTAACCATTCCCTGATTTTGAACGAGTTTCCTCAAATTTGCTAATCATTTTTGACAATATTCTTTAATTTGAAACAAAAAAATTGCTCAGTTTTTTAATAGCATTTGAAATACTATGAAATTCTGCACTGATAATCTGTCTATGTCCTTAACGCTATTCGTAATCCTGAAATTATCATGTTTTTGATGATTTTACTTTCAGATATCAGTCATACGCGATCATCAGTCAAGAGAAATACGGTTAGGATTTTCTTGATTGCAAATTTCTTTTTTTTTTCAACGGAGGCTGAATTTTCAGAAGTGAGTGAAAAAGCAACTTCATTATTATGCTAAATGCATATTAAATGAAAAATTTGCAGCATTATCAAATTGGCAAATAGTATCCTGGTAGATCCCACGAGATAGAAAGTTGCGATTTAGTATTGAAAGTGTATTTCAATTTGTGAGAAATAAATAAAGTCGAATAACTGTGAAATTGAAAAATTCGCATGTCCTAATTTCTTTTTGCCTTGAATATTATTCGCTATTTCTGGTTTGGCTGCTTTCATTGATAGAACAAGAATTAAGAAGGGAAATGGAACCCATGTTGCTTAATTTCGGTCGGACTACCCACTCCGACCATTCCAACCTAATTAGTGATTTCTTTAGATTTTTTCTAAACTGAATATCTTAATTAAATAGCATTCATTAAAATTTTTGCTTTTTGCTTCCTGTTGACAAAGAAAAAGAAAATTCCTCAGATATGCTTTTTAAGAATGGTTGTAATTCGAAGATTTTATAGAATTTCGATTAACACAAAAACATTTAGTGAGAGTTGTTTACAACAAATATTCCGACAGATATTCATTCGAATAACAGAAAAAACTGTTAAGAATCTGATTACAGTACAAATTGTAATAAGATTGGTCATAAGATAAAAAATTTTGAACAAATGATGCATAAAATACTTTTTTAGCCATACAGAAAAAGGATGAAAAATTGAAATGAAAAGTTAATTAAAGTTAATTAAAACTAAATCTAAACTAAATCTGCTACATTAAAGCTTAGTTAAATCAAAAAAGGCGTAAAAAAATGGCTTTAGTAATGTGAAATCGGTTGCATGATGCATAACATTTGTTTACAATTTGAACAATTTATTTTATTTTATTAATTTGGTTTCTATTCGCTATTTTATGATAATAATTATGATACTTTTAAGGAATATGATATCACTGCCAGTGATGAAACTACTTTCGAAAAAAAAACCAAAATCATCCCTTTCGAACGACGTAGGATTGAAGAAGAAATGTTGGCATATGAAAATGTGGATGAAATAATAGGAAATGAACAAAAAGCTGTGAAAGTGAGTAACTTATATGCAAAATATAAATAAATATAATTATAAAATATAAATATAATATAAAATATAATATATAAAGTACAATTTTAAAATATTTTCAAAACGTATATATAAGTATTAACCAATAAATAGGCGATAATTTTCGTATTCGACCAATTATTTTGATTCATAAATATTAGGCCAGACTAGCCGACAATAAGTTTATCACCGATTTTCCTGGATTATTAAATTTTTTCTTCCAACAGCATTTACCACTTCTGGCTTAACTGACTCCGCAAGTTATTAGACTTATGAGATTTAGCTGAACATTTCTTCACTAGAGAATCACCTGGAAGTAGAAGATGGTGAGGATAGAAGTATAGTGGAGTTCGCGAAGTCACCCATATTTCACTTTCAATGACGAACTTTCGTCATTAAAGCGGAGAAATCGAATTGTGGTGACTTGACATTAATCAAAGCAAAATAGCTATCTGCTAAATTAAAACTTAGCTAAATTATTCGTTGAATAGTTGTGTACTTTTAGTGGAAATACTTTTAAATTTTTTAGGAATGTGATGCTTATGATCGTGAGATTTCCATCGTCAAAACGTCAGCTCAAATTCCCAATGAAAAGCGATTAATGAAAAAAGAAATCATCAAGAATATTGATCAAAACGAAAAACTTATGAAAAAGGTGAAAGTTAACTTTTGAAAAAGTGTGCAAATATATAATTCCGAATTATACTGAGAATTGCTGGGAATTCGAAATATTTAAGAATCCATTTATTTGTCCATTCACTTTTTATTTATTTGCCATTTCCTTTACCATTTCATGTCGTGTTTTTGAAAATGTGTTTTATTTACAGTTGCATAATTATCGTTATTATTCGTTCATTATATAACTTTTAGGATATAATGATTGAACTAATGGATACTGAAATCACTGACAGCCAGGAAAGTTACAGCCGCACAACTGAAATCAAAAAGGTCGAAGGTAGTATTGTTAAAATTCATCAAAAATATAATAATACATTTCATTCCAGTAGAATATATTGCAGCATCATGCACTAGTGAGAATCACAAATCTAGAGTGTGCCTGAGGTAGTGTGAGTGACAACCGATGCAATGCCGTTGAATAGTCGAATCAGCTTTGTATTCACAGCTTAAATCTAAAAATGATTTGCTAGCCTTTTCTGAAGATCATTGCACCACTCAATCTCTTATTAAAATATATTTTGGCAATTTTAAATTAAATTTGATATTTGGAATAGTTTTTCTTGTAACTAGTATTATTCATTACAAATAAAGCATTACATCTAAATTTATATCCTTTCAAGGTAATGGCTAATGAATATGGTAAAGAGTCCTGAAAAGAGTCCAAAATATCATTTCTGATAGTATATTTTTATTGCCTTTTATTTCAGAGGAATATAAATTGCTCATAAAAGTTGCTGAAACTATTGCTCGCCGTCTTGTAGCCAAAGTAGTAATTGATGAAGCAATTCAAGAAGCTTTAAATCGTATCCAAGATGAGGTTCACTCGAGCGATGAAGAAGATTCATGTTCTTATGATACGGCATATGAGGAACAGGCCTGCCCACCATGGTATTTTACCATTTTTTTCCTAATTCGAAGTCCTTTAGATTTTTTTCTGGAAATTTTTAGTTTTAAAATTCCTTAGACTTATCAAAAGACGATCTTCTTCAGGTTTGAGACAAATATCGAGTGCTTCATCGCAGAAAAAGGCAGTACTGTTAAACTTGCCACAGACATTGGTGGTTATCCGAATCCACAAGTCCAATGGTATTTTGGTAACGAAAAGGTTGAACATTCTGAGTAAGTTTACCGATTATTCCATGCCTTTCCAATCTTGCATAAGCCTGATTAATCAATGATCCTTTGTCTAACACTATTTCTAAAGTTCTAATTCTAAAGTTACAGTAAACTACAGTGGCTACTGAAATTTCAGTCAAATAGGATTATATTACATAAATCGAAGAGCTACACTTATTATCGAAAAAGTCACCAAGGAAAATGAAGGAATATATTATTGCCACGCTGAAAACGAATTCGGAAAATCGGTATTGTCGTGCAGTTTATGGGTTATTGAAAGCACTAAAGGTAAAAATTTGAATGAAACTACAAAAAATATATGCATAAAGACTTTCTTATTAAATTGCGACATATACATTCTATTTCTTTTGAAACTGACATTAAATATCAGTTTTTTTGAAGCATTATAACTGAACGATCGCTTTATTGGATATTCGACCTTTTGAAAATTCTAGATCACCATCTGTCAATTATTCCTTCTTTAGATGACCTATCACAGAAAATTTTCCGATGATCAGTTTGTAGATTTAAGAAGCAACGAAAGTTCTTGTAGATATATGGCATTTACACTTTACAATAAGATTAATGCTGTGCAAAAATAGCGACAGAATTTCGACCCAAAAATTTCGACCCTTCGGGAATCCGATCCACCGTGTTTTCTGCATAGATTTAATAATTTTCGCCACGCGTGACTTTTATCTATTAACAAATTATTATAAATTCTTCGGCCAGCGTTCTCTTTATAATTATCTCGCTTCGAATGTTCTGAATATCCTCAAACTTGGGAAATTAAACCGTTTATTAATATACATATTATGTAAAATAATATGCACAAAAAACACATGTTAACACAAGCACAAAAAACACAAGTTACTAAAGAATCATGAATAGTGCAGTATATGGATGTCCGTATGGCAAATCTAATGGGGGTAGGTGATGCACTTGGTTGCATTCGCTTAATATAATAATTTTGTTCATATCAATCAATCTGATCAATCTTTTTTTGCCTGTTCAATCGTTTATATTCCGGTTCGTCAATATTGTTAACCGCAACAATTCGGCTCTGAGTGATCTGGCTGCCCATTGCAACATTATGTCGGACATTACAAGAAGTGTTACACACACAATATCTACAGGCATAAAAATTAGAAATTATAGTAAGAAATAGGACGCCCGCGAAGTTTATATGGCTTATCATTTGCTTACCGCGATGGGTTGACTCCCGCTCAGGTATTTGTAATTATGAAATATGGAATCGCTTATCACTTGCGCAATCATTTATCACGAATAAATTGTTTTCAGGACAAGTTGAACCAATGCTTCAAATGCATAAGCCAATGAAATACATTACATTGCAGACTGACGTTTCGTCAAATGTTAGTGTTAAACATAGCGAAGAAAAGTATGAGCATCGGATCACATTATTACATCCAGAGATATATATTCTGAATTGCAATTGCCTAACATCAACAAGTCGTATCTATAATGGTTCATCGATTATTGCTCAAGAAGAGCATCAAGGGACGTTTATGGAAGAAATGAAATTGGTTGAAATGAAGATCCCTCACGATGCGACTACTGTGTTGACTATTAATGCTGAAAAACCAGCAGTTAACTTTACACATTTGGTGCGCATAGTACAGCTTGATGAAGCAAAAATTGTTTTGCTTAGGCGGCAACAGCGTTTTCTTAGATCTGAGGAAGTCATGCAAACAGCTGATATTCAGCTTATTGAGATGCAACAAAAGGATTCAAGAATTGAATCAACTGTTAATATAAATATATTGGTTGCTATAGAAAATCCACAGAGAGTGGCATTTTACGAAGTTTTATGTGTATATAATGAACGGGTAAGTTATACAAATGAGTTTCTTTTAAATTGTTGAACTGATTGGTTATTTCCAATAGTGAGATCTATGATGGCAGTTTTAAGATTAGGTCTAACAGGAAATTTTGCCATTTCTTACTGAATTTTCATCGAATTTGCATATGGTATTATAATATTGTCTATATAACACGACACTAAAGGTTCAATTTTTCGCTTCAATTTATATTTTTTGAGATAATGCTGGAGCAAAAAATTCAAACAATTTCCTCACTTGATATTGCTCAAATTCACATGGCCAACGAGTCGGTTAGCACGATACTCGCTGTAAAGGTTCCTTAAAATTGACGACTTACATGAGCATTTAAATATTTGTATTTCATGCCGAGCAAAATACTATACTACTCTCCAATCTTGATTAATCCATTCATTGATAAAAGAAAAACCATCTTTCTCACTTGATAAAAATAATATAAATAAAAAAATCAATCAATTCCTTCCTCAAGGAAAATTTTCAATTAGATATAAACAAATATAAGCAATAAATACGAGTAAATTTTAAGGATGAACATAAAGCTCATGAGATAGCTAATGTCGTTGCACGAAGACCTTTTGCTAGCTTTGATCATAAGGTCATTGTTATTGAGTCAGAAATGATCCGCATCAGCGCTCACGTAGTAGCATCTGCTGTTAAATATGAAATCGCTGATATCGAAAGAATATTCCAAAAAACTACAGAAACAGCCGAATGTCGGACAGAAAGAATGTTTACTTCAATTAAATATGCTTCAGCTGATCAGAGGATTGTTATTCTTGAAGGCTTACAAACATCCTTCGATTCGAATACGTGGAGTGTTAAACGAGTTCGACATTTTTCAACTGCTACTTTTTAGATTTTTAGATGTACTAAACAAATTAAATGAAGAAAAAGCGAAACAAAATTTGCCGTAATTTATATGTAATATATGAAATTTTAACTGCCATTCATAATAGGTTCGATTCCTGCTCATTGATAAATGAAAATGCGATAAGGGGTGCAATCCACTGCAGGGAACTCACCTCTATTATTATAGCAGTTTTATTTTTTCTCTACTGGGAATTATTTTCAATCGATTTCACCATTTAAACGATACTCGTTTCGTTTCAAAGAGAAAATATTAATTAGCTGGATTAATCGAGCTTAAAAATAATGAAATATTCATTTTAGCATCAGAAATTGCTAAGCAGTGAATCAGTTGCGAACTTGAGTGTTGAAATTCGGAAACCTGTAGAATTTGGTGAACATTTTATTACAGTAGTTGATTCAGCCAAAATCATTGCAGAAATTCTATCAACTGTTGCACCTTCTAGTAAACTTAAAGTATGTTGTACATCGCTTTTGTTGGATATTTTCTTTAAATCACTACTTAATTTACTGGTATAGAGAACTTTATCTGAATAATGAAACTTTGGAAATCTGCACACTTTATAACTGCAATTATGAAGGAAGAAGAATGAATATTATACGGTTTTTTTAGACAGTTTTACTTTTGGCAAAACGAAATTACCACTGTATTTAAAAAATCACTTAGATTGAACGAAATGATAATCTTATGCAGCAAATCTTCACGAATATAGATTAAATTACTATGCATTTTGCTATCAAACTGTTGCTCATGAGGGACAGTGTTCACGGATACACTATTCTACTTCCACTATTTCAGCTAACGAGTATATATGTATCATTTATCAAAAAAGGGAATACAGCTCATCAATCTCTCGTAGTACAGTATGAAAGTTTTGTTGAAGATCAAGTATTACTGAATATTACATTGCTAACGGCTCGTGGTTTTTATTCTAAAGAAGTATTTAATTTACTTTTTGCTTTAATTAAAAATTGGCTGAAAATTATATATTGTCCTTGATTTATCAGGAAATTTATCAAAAATCTAGGAAACCTAAGCTCGAACTTTAGTTTTAAGACCATGAAAAATATTCGCAATTTCTGTTTAAATTATTCGGCAAGCATTGACTGTTTAATGTTTTAAGAACAAGAAGTGTTAACCATTTCCAATAAGTCTAGCTGTGCTGAATGTGGTCAGAGATTTTTGATGGGGAATTACGACAGGAGTCTAGGTGGTCACCAGTACCAACCGGATTTATAAATGACAGGCTTGTTCCCATCAAAGGGCAATACGCATACTCTCGCTTCTAAATACGATAATTTGAGCCACTGAACTACCGATCTCTTAGATTTACTTCATATCATATTGTATACTACTCGTAACAAAATTATAAATAGTACCTATCATTTATCTCATGCATTCATTTACAGGAAGATATCTGGATGAGGGAGGTAAAGAATACTGAAACTGAATTAGAACGAGATCGGAACGTCGCTGTATTTGTAGAAGTTGACGCTGTATGTCCAGATCAGGTCTAACAAATATTTATTCTAGACTTTAGACTTTTATATATTTTATTCGAATTTTTTCTTATTTATTTATTTATTGAAAATCAGGTAAGCAGGGCGACAAATGCCATGTGCTTGTATTAATAAAAAATAATAAGAATTAATGGTAAAAAAAGAAAATATGACAAATAATTAACAATTTAAAAATGAAATAAAGAAGAAATTATATAACACAATTCGAAATAACTATAATTGGATGGCAAAAATCGCGATTTCACACTCTCTGCATGATGTGAATTCTTTAAATAATATCATTTTTGATATTAACTAATCTTTTTTAAAAGATAGCTAGGAATGGCGCACAAGCCATATCGTTCGGTAATTTATTCCAGTAATTAATAGTACGAATAAAGTCATGAGTTTTTAGATTAGTTATAACAAAAGTTTTAATATTTAGCCCATTAGTTCTTGTTGGATTCAAATTTGGCCTAAAATTATATTTTGAACAATCTAGCTCAATATAACCATAAATTTTATAAATATAAATAAAATCTTGTTTAATACGACGAACTGAAAGAGAATCCAGGTTATATTGTAGAAGTTCTCTTTTACAATTAAGATTGGAATTAGGAGAGAGGCGTATAAAATATTCATGGAGTCCCTCAATTTTACTTAATTTTTACTTAATTTACGATATCTCAGGGAGTAACATGTAGTATTGTAGTCAATAAGTGGCCGAACGAACGCTTTATACATTGATAAGAAAATCTTTAGTTTTTTCATAAACGAACGAAAAATAAAATTTAGTATCTTTGAGGATTTTTTTACCATGGTTCCTGCAGAGAGGTCGAAATTGAGATTTTCATCCATGACTATTCCGAGATCGGAAATGTCGTAATGACTCCGAGACTCTACTGATTACATCACCATTGATAAAAAGATTAGGAAGATCGAATCCTTTAGAATTAATATGAAGAACACTACATTTTTGAAAGGAAAGGTGAAAGGTAATTTGCTTATCATATAGCCATTTGGCTATTCTGTTGAGCTTTTCCTGCGGTGGAGATAAGCTATCTGTTCTACCATGAGAATAATAAATTTTACAATCATCAGCATAAAGATAAATGGTAGAATTTAGTATCACATTGGTGATATTTATATATAATAGAAAAAGCAATGGCGTAATACAACTACCTTGGAAAACACCAGATTTAACAGTTGTTGTGTCAGAGAGAGTGCTATTGACACGTACAGTTTGGTGACGATCTTTTATGTAATCTGACACCCAGTTATAAAGGGCCCATGTAATGCCATAACTATTAAGAGTGATCAGTAATTTGCTATGGGAAACAGTATCAAAAGTTTTAGCCAAATCTAGGTACACAACTGATACTGTTTTACCATTGTCAATTGATGCAGACCAATCGGCAAGATTTGCCAATGCTTGTGAAGAAGCGTATTTTTTTCTACAAAAGCCATGCTGATAAGGAGATATAAAATTATTGGCATCAAGATAAGTAACCAATTCATTGCAAATCAAATTTTCGAGTACCTTGCTGCCAACGCATGTTAGGCTAATAGGTTTATAATTTGAAGGGTCACAGGTGCTTCCTTCTTTATGAATGGGAATTATATGAGACAGCTGCCAAATCTTGGGATTAAGGCCAGATTTCATAATGTCTTTATAAATTAAAAATAGTGGAGGATTCAGTGAAATGCACATTTTTTATAAATAGTGGAGGATTCAGTGAAATGCACATTTAATTATTTGTGGAATATTATCGGGACCAGCTGAAATGGACGGCTTAAGTCTATTTAAGACATCATAAACATCCAGTAGTGTTATTTAAACTTCACCGAGAGAAGTGCAACAAATTCGATTTAAAACAAGAAGTATGAATATTACCTCCATCAACAAATACACTTGAAAAATATTGATTAAATACACTTGCAATATCAATATCAGAGGTGATCACATTATCATTATGCTGTAGAATTAATTGTTTACGTGGATTTGCTAAATTTATTTTGATGTAGGTCCAGAAAGAATTTCTATTAATATTTAAAAGTTGCACTTCTTTACTTGAAAAGTAATTATGAATGGCACTGTGGAAACTTCTTAAGCATTCTTTATATGAAGAGAGGTCACTTGGCAGTTTGGTTAATTTGTATTTATTATAAAGTTTCTTGACACTTTTTTTAAGAGATTTTAAAAAAATGGGAGTCGACTTAACGCTTTTTTTTCTTAGAGGGATATATTGCTCAATAAGGTATAAAATGATGCTACGAAGAAAGTTAACTTTTTCATCAATAGAGGGAGTTAAACAGAATAAGAAATCCCAGTTTTCTGCGAGGATAAAATAAGTGATTTCATAATCACAGTGAAGGTAAATTCTAGAATATCTCGAGGGAAGTATATGAGGGAAGTATCTAATTTTAAAGAAGCATGTTGTGATCACTATCACAAAAAAGTTCCAAGACTTTAATGCTATCAACAAAAGAAGTAGAAGTAGCTAGCATAATATCTAAAATTATACCTAGTGGCAATCTTATATTGCTCTAGACCTATATAAATACAAAGGTTTAGAAAGTCCTCTTCAAATTTGCTGCTATTTTTCAAGTAATTATTTTCCCAATCTATATTTGGCATATTTAGATCGCCAACAATTACATAATTGGTACCAAATATTTTTAATCTAAATAACAGGTTATAAAGATCCCTAGTGAATATACTACAATAGCCAGGTGGGCGGTATATATTAAAAAGGAAAATGTTTCTATTATTGAGATAAATTTTAGTTATTAGAGATTAAAAAAAGAGGAATAGACAAAATCATCAAAAGTTACAAATTTATAAAAATCAGGAATAAGCGTGATAAGCCCACCTCCACGAGTATTTAAACTATTTATTGTTCTATCCTTGCATGATACTATAAAGCCGTCGAAGTTTAGTTCCCGATTAACAGTAGAGTCATCCAACTACATTAATATGAAAGTATCATTTGGGTTATCAATCAGTAAGAGCTGTAAGTCATAAAGTTTATATTTTAAACTTCTTGCATTAAATACTTCCTATTTTATTAACCTTGTTTGGTAAGTTGTCCTAAGTTATAGTAGATTGATGAAAGAAAGTTGGAATCGAAAAATTGTTCGTCGTTATAAACTATTGGCGATGCTGCGTGAATTCCACTATTTGAAGGTTTCTGAAACATATTTCTTCAGATTGAAACTTTGATTTCGCATATAACATTCTTTTCGCAATTGTTTGTCTAGCAATAGTTCTCTCTTCGTTAAATTCTTTCGCAAAAAGTTTCCATGGGGAACAATTGAGCGCACGTTTTTATTAAGCAAAACAGACATGTACTTATCTTCAAGTCGAATCTTAAGTACTCGTGGCCTGCCTGAGCCCGTCCTTCCATGTCAACGAACTTCCTTAATGTTATCAGCCTTGATTTCACGGGCAGCTGCGATATTCTCTGCTAAGAATATATATCTCATTATCCGTAGATTTCTCCGAGATGTTTATGACAACTAAAAATGGTCCTTTTTCCTTTTTTTTTTCGAAATTTTCATCAATACTTGCTCAGTTGAGATTTTTGGAGGTCAAAGTTGCCATCCAAAGACGAGGCTTTCAAATTATTAATATCATTCTTAAGTTCTTTGATAAGTTCTTTGACTTTTGTAAATATTTCAACTTGTTGCTTTTCATATTTCTCAGTCTGGAGGATGGGATAATCTTAGATCCTCTATATTTAAATATACTATAGTTTTATTTAAATAGCTGACATCATTATAGGAAACTACCCCATTATTTGCTAATTTTTTCGGTGCCATTTGGAATTTCCACTTATCTTACAAGTGCATGGTATAAAACGATAAGATCAACATACTATAGGATACACTTTATAAGATCAATATACTTTTGAAAAGAATCTTTCACATGAATGCAATAATAATGTATTCCTTCTATAATTTTAGCAAAGCACAATACAAAATAATATAGAAAAAATGACCAACATAACCGCTTACGAGAATAGCAAATAGAGAAAAGGCTTTATTAAGGCTTTGCCATCGAAAATGAATTATTCATCATTTTTATTATCATTCATTCTTTATTTTCTGTATTTCTGCGACTTCTTTTTCATGAATTCAAATTAAAAATTTTTTATTTATTTTTATAATAGCAATAATGAAGTTGATGAAATGCATATGCAAATTATAACATATTTTTAGAGTGTTGAACTAGTTGCTTCGGTGAACATTCCCATTATAACAAATACCAATCTGTTGCAAGCTACGCAGACGTTTTCGTTTAACGATGATCAACTGCTTACAGCATCAGATTCATCGTCCATAGGTCTGTATTATTCTTGAAACATATATACTTTAATTAAGGACTTTTTCGGAAGCAGAATTAATTAATTTAGTGAATAAAATATTTTTATTTACAATTAAATACAAAAAAACTATTCAGGAAATCTCCAGGCACCCAGGTTCATTAAAGGTCTAGAAAATCAAGTAGCAACTGTTGGTAAATCCTTACAGTTTAAATGTATAGTGATTGGTACACCAACACCAACTGTCAGGTGGTTTGTCGATGGCGACGAGATTTTTGACTCAAGGTATATTAATAAATTTTTTTTAAATTAAATTTTTAAAAAAACGTTTTAACTTAGTTGTTTTGAATATTGAATAAAAGTAAAAGGGCAAATAATCCTAGAATATTCAAAATAGAACAATCCATCAGAAAGACGATAAATTTGATATTCAGTGATTGTATAACTTTTGGTGCATCTAATTTTAATTTAGCATATATGAAACAATATATGAAGATGGTGTGTGCATAATGAAAATTCATGAAGCTCTTCTGGAAGATGAGGGTGAATATTCGTGTGAAGCATTAAATAGTGCAGGACACGCAATTACAAGCTGTTTTGTCCAAACTACAAGTAAGTTGGATGATTTTTTACAAAGTGGTATTCAAATTTCCAGGATTCGAAAGAGGAACAAAATTTGAAAATACACTAGCCAAAAGTGATATATCAATAAAAATCAAATGGAAATTTTCACATTAGAGCCATCAGGCAAATAGATATTCGATTTTAATTGGACCCAACTTAAGGCATTTTAAATTTTCTAAACACCGTCAGTCATTTAAAAAATTTAAATTTAAAATATTTTTTGCATTATTCGAAATTGTTGGCAGCTGTAAAGGACAGTATGCTGCTGATTTAAGCGCCAGATTTAAACGTCTTAAATGATGTATCATCTATGATATTAGACCGTTAAATTTTTGCATCATCATTCTTTCTCTTATCGCTTTTTTATTTTCCTTCACCTCAGCCTATTTTTATTTACATTTCACATTTTGAACATTTTTTATTCTACAATGTTTTATTCATTTGCGTTTAAGTCTAGTGTTTGATTAGCATGCAGTGATGTCCTTCTAGAAACTGCTTTCTTGCTCGATTTATCTTCCTAACCTAATTATTGCTTAGTTTTTTTCTAACAAAATGTGCAATTTTTAGCTGAAGAAAATATTGAAAAAATATTCGGTTGCGAATTGATCATCGACGAAAAAAGCGCTTGTATAAAAAACACTCTAGAAGAAACGAGAGATACGTTGATAAAACCATGCTATAACTCTGAAAATTTTGAATATAATATTGAAAATACATCAAATTTTTCTAACGAGGACAAAACCATTTTTGAATCATTTTCCGTAACCAATATAGCAATTATTCATCATCGGCATTATATGAGCATTAATAAAACAATTGCGATTAATTCATTTCAACCTTCAATGATCCAGAAAAAGTCATATATTGCTAGTGCAATTGAATTGCATTATATAGATCTTATTGCATCCATGAAAGGCTCTACAATTGCTGGAGTTTGTGAATGTATATTTTGGACGTTGAACAAGGCGAATATTTTTTGTCTTTTTAATGGGATAACGAACCAGAAAGAAACCATTTAGAAACCATCCAAGGTTTCTGATATACTTCTTCAGATTGAAACTTTGATTTCGCATATAACATTCTTTTCGCAATTGTTTGTCTAGCAATAGTTCTCTCTTCGTTAAATTCTTCCGCAAGAAGCTTCCATGGGGAACAATCGAGCGCACGTTTTTATTTCGCAAAACAGACATGTACTTATCTTCAAATCGAATCTTAAGTACTCGTGGCCTGCCTGACCACTTTCTTCCACAAATTTCCTTAATGTAGTCAGTCTGGATCCCAGCGGTAGCTACAATATCCTCTGCTATGAGCATAGTAGCAGTCTCATCATCAGTAGATTTCTCCGGCCAACTAGACATGGTTTTTTCTTTTTTTTCCGAAATATTCATCAATAGTTTGCAATATTTGCTCAGTTGAAATTTTTGGAAGCTCAAAGTTGCCATCCAAAGACGAGGCTTTCAAATTATTGATATCATTCTTAAGTTCCTCGTTAACCTTTTTGAGTATTTCAGCAGAGCTGGTGAAATGCAGAATTAGATCTTGTTGCTTTTCATATTTTAATAATGGAAACTAACTGTGTTCTCAAGTCCTCGATAGTTAAGGAGCCGACATCATTGGTAGAAACGACCTTATTAGTTGCCATCTTTTTCAGTGCGATTCTGAATAAGTGTCACAAACAAAAATCTCTTTTATCTTATAAGTACCCGATATAAGACGATAAAGACAATATATTTTTGAGGAGGAATATCATTTAGACAAATGTAATAAGGCGAATAATGTATTCCTCTTATCTTTTTAGGTAAGCACAATATAATTTAACAGAAATAATGAATTATTGACGGAAAGAAGATCGACACAACTGCTAGCGAGAAAGACAAAATGACAAAATCGTCGTCATCTAAAGGAAAGAAATTGAACGTATAAAACATAAACAAGAATATTTAAAAACTAGAAATTTAGATGCGCCATAAGTTTGAAAGTTTGTCTTTTTAAAAATTAAAAGCCTAATGGGCTAAATAGTACCGCTTTGATTTTAATTCATTTTAAATACAATTGTTGAACTCTCTATAATTTTAAAATTTTCTTCGAGCATCAGAATTACGAGACTGCAATCCGTGAAATTTTTATTGACTGGGTTAAGCAGTAATCGACGCATTGCCCAGAAATTTTCGTTTAACATTTCATCGAATCACTTGGGTATTCTTCGCATATAAGTAATTGTTACTCCGAATCAATAAACGCAGAAGGATCTAAGTCTTGCAAGCCCTTGTGCAATATAAACGTTGCCATTGCACCTCTTTTAAGCATTAAAAATACTAATTTAAGACCAACTGGATCTGTTTATTTTTTTGAGACAGCACTTGAACGAAGTGATTTTTTATGTAAAAATTCAATTATTAAGCACATGTTGTATTTCTGCTTATGTTTTTCAGAGAAAGATATTCGAATATAGGAGGAAATTCGCTTGAATTTTTATATTAATAAAAGAAAAATAAAGGAACAGCTTTGGTGAATGAATTAGAGTTCTAATAAACAAAAATAACGGATGCACTATGATGTTTAATGGGAAAATAAATCATAATTATCAAATCAATATAAATCATAATTAATTGCTAGTCACATTTCACTCATTATGGCATTAAAGGCAGTTTGTACAACTGAATATCAGATTAGTTAAAAGACCGTTACCAAATGTGTATATTAACAACCCTCTTTCAAATTTGGCTCCAGTTAAATCAGGTGTCTCCAAAGATAGTTGTACCTTTGCTATTTTTAATATACATTAATGATATCATCACATTTGTCTTCATTTATCTTTATGCTGATGACTGTAGAATTTATTGTTCTCATGGAAGATCGGATAACCTGTCCGCACTACAAGCTGACCTCAGTAGAATTTCCAATTGGTTATGAGACCTGCAAATCACTCTTTCCATTCAAAAATGTAGAATATTATTACGCATAAATTTGAAAGGATCTTTCTATTAATAGTAACATAATTAGACGATTCTCGAATATCTCAGATCTTGGCATAGTCGTGGATGAAAATCTTAATTTCGTCTTTCAGTGCAGAACCATAGTAAAGAAATCCTCTAGATTATTAAATTTTATTTTTCGGTTGTTCAAAAAAAATGGAAATCCAAGCCAAACTTTCTTATCAAATGTTGTTCATTTTGACTTTTCTTGATTATAATGTAAATTTTTATTCTCCGAGATATCGCAAATGAAGTAAATTAATTGAAGGATTCCAAAAATACTTTGTATGCCGCCTCTCTACTAATACCAATCTCAATAATGCACAACTTCAGCTATGCAACTCAATTTTAATTCGTCGAATTAAGCAAGATTTTAATTTTTACATATAAAATTTTATGTGGTTATACAAAATTAGTTTCTTCAAAATATAATTTTAGGTTAAATCCAATTAGATCTAATGGACTAAAATTATTAGATCCTAACTGCAATGCTAAATTATAATCGCATGATTTTTTTATTCGCACCATTAATTACTGAAATAAGCTGGCGAACGCATAAGTTGTGCACCATCCTTATGTATTTTTAAAAAAATATCATATAATTTATGATCATATAATTTCTATGATCATAGAAGAGGCTTTATGCTATGCAAGAAGTTCGAAATCTTCATTCGAATGATCGTTTATCATTCGATTATATCTCATTAATATATTTAGTTTGGTTGAGTTGGTCTACCTTAAATTATTTCTCTTTACATTGTTAGCTTTTGGTTCTTTGTATCATATATCACTAATTTCTTTATACATTTTCTAGTAGCACATCCTAGTGAAGGAAGCTGACCTTCTGACTTTTAGTTAGTGGGATCAGTATTCATTTGCTGTTCAAGACATTTCGCTGAAATATTTCGCTAAAATCATTGTGGTGCTTCAATAATTTATTTTGAAATGCTCTTACTAGTCTTTCCCGAATCTTTTGGTCTGAGGTAGTATAAAGACGCTATTGCGAGTTCTCAATTTTATGCTCTTAGTTCGAACCAAAATATTGTCAATTAAGGTAACTTACTTTAGTGCTGTGATAGGAACAGCTATTTAATATGGAATTCATCCAACGACGACTGATTTTTTTTTAAGAGTCCTCACCATTAATGGTAAAACTCGCTCCACTGGCTCATCGCATTAGGCAATATGCCATGGAGGCGATAGAAATACAGGAAAGTCGCCAGAATCACGCGGATTTTTGAACTGGTTTACTCCTGCGGAGAATCGAAATTTAGCACATCGGAGCTCCCAATTGAGCAACAACCCGCTGAGCCAGCCTATCCCCAACTAATCAATCTGGTTTGAGTGTCAGTTATCTGAGGGGTTCCACGTGACTAAATATTTTCTTCGATATCGGAAGCATGTGTTACTAACCAAAAATTCATGCTCTTCGGCAAAGCAAAGAAGGCGTTCTCCATTGACGCATCGGTGCCAAGTTTGCCAAAGGAGTTACCGAGAGAGTTAAGGGAGTTATTGACGGAGTTTAACGGAGGCATCGCGACCTAAGCATTCCAATCTCTTCTTGTTATAATCACCTTCCGGTAGAGATACTCGATAGAGTACGAGTTAAAGTTCTGCATAGAACTTAACTTTATCACGGACATCTGTGCATAAAGTTGGCGCATGTGCAATTATGACCGAAATATTGCAAAACTTTCAGGTATAAGCCATATGGTCATTCACCTATCTCCACTCAATCAGAGCAGGCTTTTTCAGAGCCAGGTTTAATAATTGCTCTAGAGCCGAGATAAGGCAGAAGGATCTCCCACGAGGTAATATCCACACTTTAGGAAGAGTGTGGATAGTACTTGTTTTACTTGCAACGCCCATGCGCATTCTGAGGTTCCAAGCTGCTATAGCCAACAAATAACCTCGCATACAGAGAACCCTTAATAAATTTCGAGCAAATACTCTCTAGCTTATAAGCATATCATATTCTTCAGGTCGTTTTACTACCATGAGTTTTTAGTATATTTATCACATCACATGTTAACACCGAGCCGGGAGTATCATGCAGATGCCGTGCTAAAGAGGCCAGACCCTTCCACCATAGAGCCATCTGGAAACAGAGTTACAGGTAAATCTCCAGCAGCTAAGTGGATTTTTGATATCGCGATAGATTTACTCTAGCCGAAGACAAAGAGATAAAAGTTGAGGATGAAAAATAAAATAGAGGACGAAAGGAAAAATAAACTTAAAACAAGTGTCAACATTTTACTCATAAATTGAAGTTAGGCGAAACCTGTGGAAGTCTCGAAAAAAATAGATAAAAATATTAAGTATTTATCGACTGATAAGTAGTGCAAAGCAAATAGTTGTCTCGATCGATTACAATCGATTGATTAATTATGAATCTTATACAATAAATAATTATAAATGATTATAAACAATTTGAACAAATAGCATAAAGAAATTTAGAGAGGTGACTTCTTCGTTTTGACGCAAGAATACGGTATATAGTCGTCATAGTCATAAAGAGGGCTTTGGGAGATTTATAATATACTCTAAGG